TAAATAGTGAAAAGTGGGTGTTACATTGGATAAAAGGCGTGATGTTATGTTATATGTTATGTTTTAGAAGTAAAGTATTTTGAAACCTACCACCGGCAACGTACCAATATGACTTTCTATGTTTTATGTACATACTTTCTAAGATTATTTAGACACCACGGGCAAATGGTGGAGGAAAACATCGTGAGGGAACCTGGACCTATAATTTCTAATTACCTCTATAATTTAAAAATCGCCAACCCGCATTGAGCAGCCGTGGTTATTAATGCTCAAACCTTCTCCGTGCGAATAGCCTTTGGTCAGCAGTGGCCACTTATAGGTTAATAATGTTGTTGTTATGTTGATGTTGAAAGTATTTTGCAAAAACAAATAATTGAAAAGAAAACAATATTATTTTGCACTTGAAAATCAAATCGCAGAACCATAATTTCCTTCTTTTCCTGAAACACCTGCAATGAAAATAAGAAACAAAACCAAATTAATGTTTAATGAATTCCTTCCTCAGAGTTTCCTCACCTTGGGAGAGGGTAAAGAACCTCCACATTGAACTCTGCCTACTACTAAGTTTAATTCTATTACAAAGTTCATTTATGTGAAGAGATCGGCTAAAGGAGTACACAATACATAAATTATGTGCTCGTTTAACCCGGGTTAAAGATGAAACAATGCGATGTAAACACCGCTTTTACTTAGAAGAGGAAATAAATTTTAAATGAGGTACTCGTAGGCATTTCCAGGTAACTGAAACGTTTTCGAAACATATTGTTTGGCTTGTGCGTCTTTCCTGTACAGGTTAGCATATTTAAACTGTCAAACACCGCGAGGACACCGGTGACCGCAACCTTACCTAACCTTACGTTAATTGTGTCTATAATGACGGTACTCAAAGGGTCAATATTTACATTACTCAGTAGTAAGGTCATCATCAAGCTATTAGATTTTTAAATAAATGATTTGAACTTGAGTAGTTTGTTTTATTACAATTCATTTCTATGTTTGGTAATAAATAACGACTGAATTAAAAAGTTTTGTATTATTGTAGGTAGATAACGTCAGTATGATGACATCATGATTAGAACTATAAATAGAAAATCGATTGAAATCACATTTATATAACCAATTATTAACAACAGCTGTTGTGTACCCAAGAGAACTTTATTCGAAACGAATTTCCGCGCCTTCAGCAAAAGGTAAACTCGTAAATATTGGGTCAAGAATACAAATAAAAAATTTAAATTGGGTAAGCTTTATAGCCTGATATTGTCCCAACATATAACATTTCCCGGCAAAGCCTTGTAGATTCTTTCAATTTCCTTCGAATGGTAAATTATTTCTCAGTACAACACCGGTCAGTAGGTCGGTCCATCGATTTGTGATAGAATCGATATCTTATTATTAAATTATTAGCTTCAGGCGCCGAGCGGACCAGATGATTGGCCTAAGGTAATAAGCGATGATTCACGTCATTTAAGCCTGTATCTATTGTTGCGGAGAACCTAACGGGTAACCGGGGCTCCGGCTCGACGTGCAGGAGAAGGAACGGGGTGGTTTTTAGTCAGTAAGAGTCTGACACTCCCTCCCGCCTCACCCAGGCGGGAGCAGTCATTCGATGATTTTTCCCCTTAAAAAAAAAGCCTGTATCTATTATAATTATAGGAACTCACGAATCTCAGTGGTACAGATTCTGTATTGCTACAGTTCACTAATTATTATTTTTAAAATATTTGACCATAAATCCTGTTGAACTATAAACTAAAAAAAAACAAAAAATAAACCCTAATACTAATTTTTCTAACCCAATAATTTAAACTAATCAAAATCAGTCGAACAAAAAGGAGTTAAAAGAAATACTTATAATTACGTTTTTACGTCGAATTTATATATTTTGGCTAGTCGAAACGTTATTAATATAGAACTTTAATCAAACCTAATTGATAAGCAACGTTCTATTTCAACTCGACGCTGGATGACGGTGGGCGTGAGCCTCCTGTTGTGCCTTGGTGCGGAAGGCATATGCCGGATGTGCGGTTCCACCAGCGCACGGTACGTTTGGCGCTTTTATCCCTTGACGTCCATAAGTCGAGCGGGCCTGATGGGATCCCACCCATTGTTTTGAAAATGTGCGCCCCCGAGTTGGCCCCAGTTCTAACACGTCTTTTTCGGCTCTCTTATTCCTCAGGCGTAGTTCCGACGTCCTGGAAGACAGCTTTAGTCCACCCAATCCCTAAAAAAGGTGATCGATCTAACCCGTCTAACTACAGACCGATAGCCATAACTTCCCTCTTCTCGAAAATAATGGAGTCCATTATTAACTGCCAGCTCCTGCGTTACTTAGAGGATCATCAGCTGCTCAGTGACCAGCAATACGGTTTTCGTAAAGGTCGGTCTGCTGGTGATCTCCTTGTTTACCTAACGCATCGGTGGGCACAGGCGATCGAGTCTAAGGGGGAAGCGTTGGCAGTAAGTTTAGACGTGGCGAAGGCCTTCGATCGGGTTTGGCATAGAGCGCTTCTTTCGAAGCTTCCTTCCTACGGACTTCCCGAGAAATTATGCAAATGGGTCTCCTACTTCCTTGCAGACAGAAGCATTAAAGTCGTCGTCGACGGTGAATGCTCTGACTTGATGTCTGTAAATGCAGGCGTCCCTCAAGGCTGCGTGCTATCGCCTACATTGTTCCTCCTCCATATCAATGACATGCTGCAAATCAGCGGCATTCATTGTTATGCGGATGACAGCACAGGCGATGCCTACTACACCGGCCGCGCTAACATTTCTCGGGAAAACGTCATAGAGAGCCGAAACAGACTCGTGTCTGAAATCGAGACCTCTTTAGGGAGAATCTCTGATTGGGGTGGACTTAATTTGGTCCAATTTAACCCCACTAAGACACAAGTCTGCGTGTTTACCGCTAAGAAACTGCCGTTGGTCGTCTCTCCTCAGTTTCAAAGCACCCCCCTAACTGCCTCAGCCGGTATTGGAATACTTGGTGTCAATATTTCGAGCGACGTCCAGTTTTGCGGTCATTTAGAGGATAAGGCCAAATTAGCCTCGAGGAAGCTTGGTGTGCTCAATAGATCGAGGCAGTATTTCACCCCGACCCACCGCCTGCTTCTATATAAGGCACAGGTGCGGCCCCACATGGAATACTGTTCTCATCTTTGGGCGGGGGCACCCCAGTACCAACTTCTTCCTCTGGACCGCATTCAGCGGCGTGCCGTTCGGATTGTTGGATGTCCGGATGTTTCAAACCGGCTCGACACTTTGGCAATGCGTAGAGATGTAGCTTCATTGTGCATTTTCTACCGCTTATACCACGGGGAGTGCTCTGAGGAATTGTTTGACCTGATACCTGCCGCATCTTTTCGCCATCGACCCTCACGACAGCATATGCATCCCCATCATATAGATGGTTGGCAGGCCACAACTGTGCGGTTCTCACGTAGCTTCCTGCCTCGCACAGCAAAACTGTGGAATGATCTGTCGTCGGCGGTATTTCCGAACCGATACGACCTTCAAACCTTCAAGAGAAGAGCGTACTCCTTTTTAAAGGGCCGGCAACGCACCTGTGACTCCTCTGGTGTTGCGGGTGTCCATGGGCGGCGCTGATCGCTTACCATCAGGTGATCCGTCTGCTCGTTTGCCTCCTATTCCATAAAAAAAAAAAAAAAAATTTTGGATGTTCATGGAATTGACAATTTATTTTCTCGGATAAATTGTCGTTGTCTTCAAATCCATTGAGACGAAACAGTCAGTCTTAAGTTAACACGAATAATTATTTTCCGTCATTATCATATTTTATCGCTGTAACTACGTATTATTTTAAGAATATTTATTTATAACATAACATCACGCCTTTTATCCCCGAAGGGGTAGGCAGAGGTGCACATTATACCACTGTGCAATGTAACACCCACTTTTCACTATTTATGTTATGAGTCCCATGTAATAGGGGGTGAGACTATTGCTATATACCGGGCACAATTCCAGACTCCGTACTACTAATGAGAATATTTAAAAACCCTTCGAAAACTTTGCCCGACCCGGGAATCGAACCCGAGACCCCTTGCCCGGCAGTCGCACTTACGACCACTCGGCCAACGAGACAGTCATTTATATATCCTCTTATCGAGCTCGACCTCGAGAATATTTATTTATATATCCTCTATTTGTTTATATTATGTAGGTATAATTTATTTACAAGAACAATCATTTCGTTTCAAATAGTGCGTAACCGTCTTGCTACGCGGCGTAGCTCGAAGCTACTACGGCGTAGCATAACTTAATTTGTACAAGTTATTTTACATGAGAAATGAAGTCAGTTTCATTTACATCTCAAAATCTTGTTTCAGATAAACTGTTAACATTGGAATGACCTCCAACGCGGTCACAGTGTGTCAAGCCTCTCTTGAAGATGAAATGCTCCTGGCCCACGGCAGTGTTCTTTTTGATATGGTAATGTAACCTCTCCTCTATGTAATAAGTACCCTGTACTTTATATTCTCATTTTGTGATCTCTCTATTTTCTCCATCCAGCTTAACGCAGACCACTACCGGACATAGGCCTCTCCCGTTCAAAAGGTTGGTACTGTTGTCTGTAGTTAAGTGATGTCATTGTACTGATCGTGTTCTGTGATTTAGGGATGACTGTAAATATATGTTTATTTTTGTTTAGGGAACGATTTTTATTAGATTTTGTTATAATTTGACCTACCATAAATCAACATGACTACTTATAAAACAGACTTTTTTTAAAAGAGTAACGAATGGAGTTTCTTGCTCGTTCTTCTCCACTCGAATCGATATTTTGGAACGAGCGCCTAGCTTCACTGACGGACAGACTGACAGACTATTATATATCTCATATTTTTTGACGTTTCAAAAGTACCAAATTATGGTTTAATTGAAATAAATGCTTTTGAGTTTGAGTTTGAGTTTATACTATTTTTGTAATTAGCTCACTTCACAAAATATGTATCTAATCATACAAATAAGACTTCACATACCTCATAATATTTCAATTAAACTTAAATATACTACTACTAAACGTTTAGCATATTGGGTTACCAGCTTTTGATGACCTCATATTCTGCAGGCTACTTATGAAAAGAGAGGTCATCCCTTGATAGTTGATATTTACACTTGCTTGGCCGCCTGGAGCATTAAAGACAATAAAGCAAACTTTATTAGGAATCTCAAAGAGACGCCTTATCTTACTGAACATCTAAACGATTATTATAATGTCTAATGACATCATTTAGGTTTTGGATAAACAAGTCCAAAATGGTCATTAAGTTGCTTAACGACTGTTTGAGGTACACGATACGTGATAGTGTCTTCATTTTCGTTAGCTGTTGAAAACATTTTTTTTTCTTAAATTATGCTGTGGTGTTTAATGTTTGTTTTATCAATAATTTTTTTGTTGTTTGTTCTGTATCTGTATTTTGCTTTGGTTGTGTTTATCGAGTGAGCTGTATTTTCGTACCATTTATATTATTGTTGTTTATTAGTGACGCTACTATATCGATACATATTGACATGCCTGAACCTGTCAAAATTGATTTTAAAAATAAATCTAGCCTGCTACAATCAACAACCTGCTTGCACCACACAAGAGGATATCAATATACATTGGTGATCTTTTTCTGTTTTGTTTTACCCTTTGAACATGTCTCTAAAACTTTTAAATTGAAACTTATTTGTTTATAAAAACTACGAACTTCAAAGAAAGTCTTTGAAAGTTGTTGATACCTTCGAGACCAACGGGTGGAATTCGCTCTTTACTATGTTAAGATAACCAAAGAGAACTGCCCGTCGCACATAGGAGTATTCGTATGTTAAAATCGGTTAAAAGTCAAAAGTAAAAAATTACTCAAAAATATATTCAAACCATTTTTTGTATAAGTTTAATAACCAGTCTGTCAATTGACGGCCATAATACTTCTACCCGCACTTGACTCTTGTCGTGAAGTCAGTTGGAACGCAGTCAATTTTAGAATCGCACGTCTTTGTTTGCGACGCTTTCGTTTGTGGTGTTTAGTTCTTTCGTTATTGTAGTTTCGCGTGGTTGACCTCAGTGAAAATATTAATTTAATATGGAAGTGGAAGGTATGTACCGTAATTAAATACGTAATTTTATTATTTTCTGTTTGTATTATACGTATAGGTACTATATTTAACTTGACCTTTAAGAGCATTTATTATTACTTTTAATTTTGTTATAACAGTGTTTTTGTTTAAGTGTCTGGTCTTGTCCAGCTATATTTTTTTTATAGAGATAAAATTTAGGCTTATACCAATCATATATCACAATAAAATTGTCCGCCTTAATCCGCCATTTTGTTTTTTATCCATTCGAAGTTAATGCACGTGAGAGTGTAATTATTTCAACATTGTAATTTTTTCTTTTTGCTCTCGTAGATTCTTCTAAAGCCACCAGAAAAATTACCAGGAGAGCTTTATATGACACCTTGAATGAATACAAGGAGAAAAAATGGATGAAAAGTTATCTTTAATGGAAAAAAAACTTGTGGAAATGACTAAATGTCCAAGTGATCAAAAAACTGGTTTAAGTCGGGCCCTAAGGTGCTTCAAGAGTGAATTCGAGTGAAATGGACAGCCAGTAGTTACAAGGATGAAGGTTTCTTGAAAAATAACGAAAATCGATCTAATAAGACGATTTAAAGTAATCTTAGAAGTAATTTCAAGTGGCAACAGCATTGATGTTGGTAAATTTGGAGCCTATGCACATGAAACTGCTGAAATGTACACAAATTTTTATGGTTGGCATCCTATGTCACCAACTATACACAAATTTTAATGTATGGTGCCAAACTCATATCTACTGCAATCCTACCTATTGGTCAATTATCGGAACAGGCAGCAGAGGCCCGCAACAAGCACATACGGTATTACCTTTTATACCTCTAGATTAAATTTTTCTCGAAAATTTTCCCGAGTTGATTGCAACAGAGATATATTAAACAGGCTGTTACTAAGTTCACACCCGTATTTAAGTTGTAGTACACCAAAGGTACACAAGAAAAATAAGCCATTTTCGATGAAAGCAATCAGTCTTATGGTCGCAAGTACACCGCCTTTACATCCAAATAATGGCGAACAAAGTATGAAAGAAGACGAAGAACATGAAGATGAACAGCTTGAGCCTGTCTAATCTTTTTTTTTAAATTTGTATAGGTTTTTTTTTAAAATAAATATTTCATCATCATCATCATTTCAGCCGGAAGAATAAATATTTAATAAATTAATATAAAATATCATTGAACTTCGTCTTTCATTTGATGAAATTGCAAAAAAATGCGAAAAATAATTTTGACCAGTTTTATTATGCGAATACTCCTAGTCGTTAAACCAACCCTAAAATTGTTCCTTTGCCAGCCGGACTCCACTCAATCGTTGCAGTCTGAGCAATTTCAAGTGAACAATCAGTGTATCGTGGCATACCTCATCGATCGTTAACAGGGAGAACACAAAGCTTGCTTTGTGAAATTTTTGAAATTTTTCTATATGCTTAAATGTTGTTTAGTTTCAATGGTACCACACGTATAGATCGTTATTTATTTTTAATCTACAGATTCTCCTTTTAACTGCATATGAACATTTTCTCGGGTTGTCAGTAAATCATAAGTTGTTTTGACTTGGAATGTGTTTATTACTTGGGTATGTCTGTTCAAGGACATTCACTTGACAATAATATTTCTTCGGTCATTCACCTGTTGGTAGACGTTTGGTTTATTATATAGTTACATCCTTAGATATATGAATTTGAAATGGTGCTTATTCTTCATCTTGCTACGGAGCACTTCCATGGTATTATGCGATATTTTGAAGGCAGGAAAAAGACATGGGTTACATTTTTTTATCTTTAGAAGCTGTTAGTGGAAAGTTAAACGTTAATAAATTCCCCCAAGTGTTAAAGTATATCATAAATAATGAGTATCAGGTCATTTTGTATAATTATAGAATGGAGATTCTGAAGGTTATTTTCCCAAAATATCAAAGTTCTTTTTAGAATTTGATGAAGTTTCATGGAAGTTGAAGTTAATATTCTTGTTACTATTTCTAACTCTAATTACAAAGTCACGAAATTAGTTAATTTCCGCTATAATTACGGAACTGTTGTATCTATTGGGTGAACAGAAACTCGACGAGAATTTAATATAACGCCACATCTGTGACTACCATAAATTAATAGCCGTAATGACTTCTAGGTCCTTGTTCCAGTCTTCAATTGAAATTTAAATTTGCGACGAAATGAAGAAGTTATTGCGTCATTTTACCTTTATCAAAGAGAACATCGTTTGTTAATAAAACCTGTAACTTTTGTATCCAGTACATTGTCAGGCAAACCTTTAGGGTTATAGGTGCATAGAGCGGGGAATCTAGATGCCCACATAATGACCTCAAGGATGACGGCGGCACAATGGTCACGTGCCGCCGTGCACTGCATAGGGAGGCTCAAGATGACACACATAGGTCTCCATAGGCAGGTGCCGTAACAGGCGTTGCAATGTGGGGGCTCCGGTCTACTAAGAGGACTAAGTGCCTCCTTCAGGTGCGGATGGTTGCCACTAGGGAGGTTTTAGTGAGGTAAAAATTCCTAGTCTTTTTCCCCAAAAAGCTAGGCGCCTTCTGAATGTTTCCCCCATCAACAAAAAAAAGTACACTTGTGAGTTCTCTGGTGTTGTGGGTGTCCAATGACGACGTGGATAATTCACTATCGTGTTATATTATTTGCTCGTTTGCCCTCGTTCAATCCTTTTTCTTAGTATTCGTTGTTTTGTTTTATTACTTTGATACATTCTAGATCTACCTTTTACAATCTTATGGTAAATACAATTTTATTGCTCACCATTTCAAGTGACAGCTGTTGTCCTTGAATTAACGAAATTCCATCGATTATTGGCTTCGACAGATTCATGGTCTCGTTAATTTAATTAAAAACCTTCCAGGAATGTTTAATAAATTCGCACCCTTATCTAAATCTGTTCTTAGAATTTTACGATTCACACCGTACGCGTTCCCGTGGATTTATCACTCCAGTTTCAAATCTTCAGTACCTTTACCATGGGTTCAAAGTAGTACCTCTAATATTGGTCATGACTCAATAGCAACGATATAACATTTTTGGTATGGCAATTTTACAGCGCCTCTAGCGGTCACTTATAGAACTAAAATTTGTCATACAAAAATTTACGTCGTCGCTATCGAGTAGCGACAATTACCATCATTCCACGCATGATAGTACGGCATGGAAATTTCAATTTAGAGTAGGCAAATGCCGTGGAGTTATGAAGGGGTTCAATGCCAAACATTCTGTCAGCGAGATTTCCAGTGGAAGGGTAAGCTCGCCTCGCTTCTAATACTCTGTTATGACAGACAGACACAGGGGTGTCAACGTTAAAAACTAAATTGCATTTCTCTATGATACAGCGAATATTGCATTTCTACCTTCTCATTGTACTGTCAAACTGTCTTCTGTTTTCAATTTGAGATTATTTTGATGAAAGCTATATTTAATTGCTATTTTTGATAGATATTGAATTTTGATTAATTCTTGG